CTATAAAAATGTGCATACCCTTTGACCCAGCAATAGGATTTCCAGGGCTATATCCCAAAGAGAGCACACAAATGGGAAAAGGACCCACATGTACAAAAATATTTATAGCAGCTCTTTTTGTGGTGGCAAAGAATTGGAAATTGAGAGGATGCCCATCAACAGGGGAACGGCTGAACAAGTTGTGGTATATAAATGTAATGGAATACTATTGTGCTATAAGAAATGATGAACAGGCAGACTTCAGAAAAACCTGGAAAGACTTGTATGGACTGATGCTGAGTGAAGTGAGCAGAACCATGAGAATGTTGTACACAGTAACAGCCATGTTGTGCAATGACTAACATTGATAGATTTAGCCCTTCTCAGCAATGCAAGGATCTAAGACATCTCCAAAGGTCTCATGATGGAAAACGCTATCCACATCCAAAGAAAGAACTATGGAATTTGAACGCAGATCAAAGCATACTATTTGCTATTTTTTTTCTTCTGTTGTGTTATGTTCCCTCTTTCTGGAGGTTCCTCCTATTGGTTCTAATTCTTCCTTACAACATCACTAATGTGAATATATGTTTAATAGGAATGTATGTGTATAGCCTATATCAGATTGCACACCATCTTGGGGAGGGAGGTGGGAAGGAAGGGGGAGAAAAATTTAAAACTCAAAAGCTTATGGAAGTGATTGTTGATAAATCAAAATAAATTAATTTAAAAAAATAAAACAATAAAAACTGTTCTGAAGTTATGCATGTATACACAGAATATTCCAAAAGTACTAAATTGTTTGAGGAAACATTTTTTTTACTCTTTATATTTGTTCATTGTGTCATAATCCAGAACCCCAAAGCCATTAACATAGTTTGAATGAATTGTTTTCTCCTATGTAAATGTTTCAATATAGCTGGATATAGCTAGCATCTATGAGAGCAATGCATTTACTTAATCAAACACATTTTAGGAAAGGTCTTGTGAAGTGATAAGTACGGAATGTTGGAATTGCTAAATATCTCGAGTATTTATGGCATCGAGCCTTCTGTCTGTCATCCACCTAGGCTAATGATATAAAAAAGCAACTCTAAATTATCAAAATCTAGGTTTAAAAAAGTAACACGCACTCACAAATTTTACCTTCAACAAAAATTGAAAGAATGGTTTAATGAACATGAAAGAGAAAGACCATCCTTTTGGTGGGGTCTCATCTGGCATCGATTGTGAGCCACTCATTCTCCCAGAGTGACTATTCCAAAAGCTTACCTAAATCATCTGAGACAGGTACTGTTTAGCCTATTCTTAATGAATTCCAGTTGTAGTGTCAAAGTCCAGATGGATTTTACTGAAATTGTAGAGGTGCTCTTCAAAATAGCTCACTTTTAGAATAAATTCAAAGCTAAATCCTATTATGTTCAAAGTGAAGGGAAATCAGTGTCAGTTCATGGGACACAGCCTCATTTTCAAACAGGAAATTTCAATGGAGTCAAGAGTAACTACTTCCTAGCAGTATTCATAGCTATAGATTTATTAGTGCATCACATGAATATTCATATATTGAACACAGAATAAACTGAAATATTGTTAATCATCATTTTAAAATATTTTTATAGAATACAAATATATCAGTGTATACATTTTTCTGTATTGATGAAAATGAATAGTACTTTGGGACCAAGTATGCCTATTAAAATGATGTGATACATTACCAGGCCTACATAGAAGAAATGAGCACAGATGGTGAGTCTATTACTTCTCTAACAAGAAATTTGTCTTTCTCTCTCATTTTTTTTTCCTTCTCATTGAAATCTGAACAGCATTTTCTCAAGTCATGAAACCTCTGTGGAGATCCTTACTGTGTTTTATCCATTACTTCTACATTAGTAGGGGGAAAAGCCCCAAAGTGATTAATGGCTTATTAAAACTTTGTAATGAGAGAACTCTCAAACTGAGTGCCTTTCACATTTTTTCTTTCCATTTGAGAAACATATTTTGCATGTAAATTAAAGTCTGTTGGGAAAGAGTTTGTGTATCATGCTAAGATTCCAATTTGCTCATTTAGTGCTGACAGGATCATTTAGCCCATGTTAAAAAATACCAGTGTGTCTGCATAGACATTTGTTAACAATTCAGTTGTTGAATATGTGGATGTGCAAAAAAGAATGTTAAGAAATCTTTTAGAAAAAAATGAAAATGTAAAAGATAAACATTATCTTTAGAGTGTAATATTTTACTTAGAGTTTGGTTTTTTTTTCATGTTTTCTCCTCCACCTTATTGGAAAGGGGAAGATATTCTTATTTGAGGATGAACTTTGTCTTGTGCCTGGTAAATATTAGCCTGGATCAGATTATAGGGACATAGTAATAGTAATTATACTACGTGAGATGTGGAAAGCTATTCTATAAGTGGCTTAATTAAGACTGTTCCTTTTTTTGTCTCATTAAAAAAAATGAAAATAGGAAAGATTGTAGAGGCCAAGGTTCTGTAATGCAAATATGACTATAAAATTTTAAATAATTGATTATCGTGATGTAGAATCATTGGATGTGATGACTTTTTTGATGAATCCTGGATGAATTTCTTTGATGTCTCAATAATTATGGTAATTCATAATTACACACACACACACACACACACACACACACACACACACACACACACACACACAGGTATCCTCCAGTTGCCTCAATTTACAGGTGAGGATACTGAAGTCAGGAAATTAACTGTGTAGACTAAAGTCACCTGTATGGGGCTATATTCCATATACTAAATTCTACTTGAATGCTCCAATAAAAATATACACATTTACACCAATTAGTAAAGGCTACAGACTATAAAATATATTATGCAGGTCTTAAAATAATTAAATCTTGGATATGGATTTGTTCAATGTTTAACCAAAATTAATAGATTATCTTTAGGACTTCAAACCAGTGTTTCCCAGAACTATCAAGTGGCCCTGAGCAAAAGCACAGTGATAGCCATCTCCATGCTATGTGAAAGGTGACACTATCTGTGTTTGGCTTACTTTCTTATAAAAAAAATACATTTTGTTTTTTCACTTACTTCATTTCATAACATATCCTTCCTTCTCCCTCTTCCAGAGAGCCAACCCTTATAACAAAGGGAAAAAAAAAGAGAAAAAAAGTTAAATGAAACTAACCAACACATTAACTAAGTGCCACATTATCTACTGTGTTCCATACCCAAGGTCTCCCATATCTGCAAAGAATGAAAGGTTATGTGCTCTCAAATCTCTTTTTTGAGCCAGACTTGGTCATTATAATTTTGTAGCCTTCAGTTTCAGTTTTTGGTTGTTATTGTTTATTTGTAGCAAATTTGGATATTAGGCAATATAATTAGGATCAGGAAACATTGGTTTATAATCTTGATTTGACACTGGTATATACTTTCCGGGTATATGTGTGTGTGTGTGTATGTGTGTATGTATGTATATATGTATGTGTACACATGCACACATATATATATACACACACACATATATGCACATATATGTGTGTATGTATATATGTACATACATACTCTATATGTGTGTGTATATGTACATACGTGTGTGTATATATATATACACACATATAAATTTATAAAATCCCTAAAGGTAAAAATTGTGTCTTATGGTTCTTTTTCTTCTTACTGCCTAAAAATTCCTTATTGTACTATGGTATCCAGGAATATTTAGTGGTCATAGTGGTATCATTGATGACAGAGATAAGCATGTTGATAAATTCCTGCTGACTGTTAAGTGAGCTAAGATTATTTGAGTATTAAAATTTGACCAGGGTGTTACCTATTTCAGATTTGTTTAAACAACTTTATATGAATTCCTCATTTTTTTAATTCCCTATTTTTTAACATGAAGATTTCTCAAGATTGTTCAATGCTGAGATTAATCAAAAAAAAAAGTTTGCTTTGCATACAAAATTTTTGCTTTTTGAAACCAGTCATAAGTTTTTATATATTATGCTTTTGTAGATGTTCTAGTCAGCTATTTTTGATGTGTAAGAATTTGCTTTATATTGTTATATTACTTTTGTGAATTAATTTATACATAATATTTAAAATTATTTAGCTTTATCAAGTAATTTGCATTATATTAGACACAATTTTAAAATTCCTATTATTAAATGGACAGTACAGATTAAAATATATGCCCAACAGGACAAGCCTAGAGAAAATTTAATGAAGTGCTTATATTATATCAATTTTTTTTGTAAATTAGATATTATTATAGTAGTAATAATTATTCCTCTCAATCAGGTCCTTTAACATAAAATACAATTTGTAGAAAATAAATAGAATCCTAGACTTAGAATAAGGGTAGGGAACCTGCGGACACATGTGACCTTAAGGCTACAGATTCCCCACCCTTGAATTAGAATCATAGATACTTGGAGCTTGGGACTTTAAATAGAGTTTGCTCTAATATCCTGAATTTACAAACAAAACAAAACAGACTAAGGCCCAGAGAGTAGAAACATCTTACCTAGGGTTGCATAACAAATGAATAGCATAGTTGATTCTATAACCAAGGTTCCGAACTTTAAGTTACTAATCATCATTCTTAAACTCAGATTATTTATTTTGTCAAAAACATTATGAAAATTCAAGTAAAGATAGAAATAATTTGATAAGCTTTGTATATCTTAATGAAAAAGTTACCTCAAATCCTCTATTTCAGAAGTTACACTGCATTGGTAAAAACTGATCTTCGTTTTTAATGGAAAAATTTCCAATTTTAGAAAAATTCTAGAATCTTTTAAAATAGTCTATTTGGTGCTTTGGAAAGCGTGCTTCAAAAAAGAGAAGAGAATTTGAAAATTGTCATTTGAAATATACTTTTCAAAATAAAACTATCATCTTACATAAAATGTATATAAAATGGAATTTCATTGAAATGACAGTGAAATATCACACTGCATATGCTTTAAATAGTGGTCATAAATAATTCTTATGATCATTATTTTAAATGGTATTTTTTTCCCCCTTTCTTTAGCTATACCCATCGTGTGGTTGGAAATGGAATAAAAGCCCAATCTGGAAATCCAGAAGTGAAAGTTAAAGGGACTGATCCTGTCATAAACCAAATAATTGATAAACTGAAGCATGTTATTCAGGTAAGTAAACTTTCCTTTAGAGGTAACCAGAAGCTGCTGATGCCCTTGCATTAAAATCATCAATAAAGATACTGGCGATATTTGTTTTGTTAATTAATACTATAGATTGATATATGTGGTATTCCCTCTTGAAATTAAGAAACTGCATGAAATAAGTATGCCTATGTTATTACTAATTATTAAGTTCAGTGCTTTGCATATGGATGATGAAAGTGAAAAGTTAGCCTAATACCAGGACCATCTGTACCTGTGAGTTTCAAGACAGCTCCTCAGCATTATAAACAATTATAAGAATCACTGGATAAACCTTGATCTTCAACCAATGAGCTTTGGGCATGTGATGTTTTGTGCTTACTGTCATTAACAATTAAGGATAACAGATATCGGGAAAAAAGGAATCTGCCAAAATCACCCTTTTTTGTAACACTCTGAGCACTCCTGTGAAGTTTGCAGCCACATTTATTTAAAAAAAAAAGCAAGCTAAAAAAAGTTAGAAATGGGTATAATTTTGTGGCAGGTATTTCTTTTGCTGCATATATATGTAACATATGCATATACACACGTATATGTGTGTGTATATGTATATGTATATATACATACATAAGTGTATATTCAGTGGGTATATGTATACATAGTGATATGTACTTATGCATACATATACTGTGTACATGCATACATGTATGCATATAACACTTGTACAAAATAAATTGAGGAATAACAGTCATTGTTTATGAATAATTCTGCATTATACTAAGAAATGTCAAAGCTTCATTTTATGTCAGGTTTGCTTTTAGCTTTTATTGTTATGAAAGAATGCAGCAAATTATCCATGTTTCTTTGGTACTTGAATAATATCAATGATTTGAGTACTAGTTTTGCCAACTTGGTAAATTCTATTAGCTAAAATCAAATGTTGTTCTTCATTTTAGTGACAGTCTATGATACTGAATAGTTAGGAGACCTGACTTAGAGAGATTTTCTTATTGATTCTTCACCTTATAACTCAGATTATGAATGTTTTTCCACTTCCCTCTTTAAAGGTAAAACTTGCTCTTGGTTTGTTTTTGTATCAGAAGATCATATGTTTATAACTGGAATTGACCTCAAAGCTTACCTAGTACAATTTCCCCCAGTTTATAGATGAGAATGCTAAGACCCAGGAAAATTAAATGATAGGTCCAAGATCATATGGAGGCATCAGTGCAGTGGTTTGAACCTAGGTTCTCTGACTCTGAAGGTCTTTCATCCAGTTTGGTTTTGGTTTATAGCAAAATGGAAGTAGTGTGATGGATTGGAAAGAGTGGTGTATATGGAGGCAGAGAACCTGGGTGGGAATCCAAACTCTGTCAGACATTTAATTGTTATGTGACCTTGGGCAATTATCTTCACCCTTCTAAACCTCACCTTTATCTTTGTATGAAAATGAGAATGAAATGAAAGGGTTGAACTAGAAAGTCTTTTTAATCCCTTTTGGCAATAAATCCATGTTCCTGTGAGAAATCCATACTGTCTTTTGCATAATCTTTATTACTTATACTAGTTTTCTAAGTGTTTTTCACTATCCATGGCAATTTCAAAGCATAATGCCTTATAACTGAAGGATTCTCTAAAGCCATCTGCTTATAGTTTCCTTTCACCTGAAGCTCCCCTGGGGGAAGATGTTGAATGAGTGGCTTTGCAATTTTACAATTGCTCAAAGAGGCTTTTCAGCTAATGATGCCAATCACCATTAGTATCAAGACTCTTTACACCTCCAAAAATACCTCCCTTTAGCTCATGGCTAACAAATGGTATTGATGATACAGGTGGATCTTCCAAAATGGGAAGAGGGGCAACATATACAGCTGACAAAGTACATTTTGAGTGGGATAGACCCACACCAAATTGAAGAAATACAAACAGGGTAGTATTAGCCGCCTTTACCCTCAGGGAGAAGAAAGTTAATAACTTGCTGACAATTTATTCCACCCTCCCTTCTGTCTATGCAGGGTTCAAAATTTAAACCCCTCAGTGTCAGAGAGAGAAACACACACACACACACAACATACACTCATAACCTACATTTGTTTCTCTTGTCATGAGGAACTACATTCTTTTCACTCTGAATTAGTTTGCAGTGTAATGTGAATGTGCATCTTCAATTTGTGGTTCAAAGAATTGGTTTGATTATGTCTTTCTATGCCATTTAAAAACATTAAAATGTTTTCCTGGAGGATTTTCTCTTTTAATTTCTACTAGCATGATTAGATTGGAAATATATTCATTTCAGAGGTTAGCAGAAACAAATCTATTCCTAGTGAGGTATTGCTAAAACATACGTTCCTTCAGTGCCCTCTGGCAGCTCTGCCCAGTTTCAATAGGAATTTGTGCTTGTAAAGGGACTCTCACTGCTGACAAAATGTGTTCCAACCCCTAGAACTGATGACTATTGTACTTTCCTGCATCAAAGTGTAGTTAAAAGGATCCTCCATAGTGACAGTGCTCAAAGGGCTCACAAAATTCTCTTTCTATCAGTAAGGCTGTATTATGCATTTTCAAGGTTAAGGGTGAGGGAAGAAGGGGCAGTGAGGGCATATATCAGAATATACACTACAGGTCATCTCAATGTCAATCTCATTTTGATGTCAAACCCACCTACTCACTTACAAATGTTAGCATTAAATTAATTTGCAAGTGGTACTGGACTCATTTCTTCCAGGAGTGCCAAAGAATACTGACATTCCATAGTTGTAAAATGAAGAAGAAAACTCTCCCTAACTCTCTTTGACAAATTAAAAAAGCATTTGTTAATCATCCACTGTATGTAAAGTGCTGAGTATACAAAGGATGAATAGAATGCAATCTCTGCCCTTAGGGAATTTACAGTCTAGTATGGAATATGGGTTATGTATACTCCAAAATTTCAGTTCTTCAAGGTTATGTCATGAAAACCAAACAAACCCAACTATATAGCTGCGTAGACTGTGCATAGAATAGTCAATAGAAAGCTAACTTCAAAACCAGGAAGATTCATGCTGACTGTGCCACCCTGGGCAATTCACTTAAATTCCAGGTATTCTAGGAAACTCTCTGAAACTGTAGATTTCAGAGAAGGCGTCAACCTGCCATGATAGAGGGAGTTTCCTCACCCAGGAATTCCATATACCAATGAAATCCTAAACTGAATCTTGATTCTCTTTTCTCTACCTGATTCTGTTTTCAATATCCTTACTTAGCGATGCAAATAGCAATCTTTTTATAACTTAGAAGATGTTTTTTGACAGTCCATGTGACCAAAAATTTAATTACCTTGTGATAACCTGGTGTTAAGGCTCTCTGAGCTTAACTAAGACATTTCTTAGACCATTGGCATACTGCTTGCTGATGCTTTTCTAACTCGATAAAACCTCCAAGAACTTCCACTCTTCTGGTACAGTTTTTGATATCCCCAATTCACCTCCATGCCATGATGAAGCACTAAAACATAAATTTAGTGGAGGGAAATGCATGCACACTTAACATAAATGAGAATATAAGTGCCTTGGAGAAATGTCAGAAATCACAGGAGATTATCTATAGGTAATCTATATTTATTAGGATAAAAGAATCATTTATAAGGAAGATAGGATCTGAGGTGGGCCTTGAAACATTTCAGGGATTTCACCATGAACTTGAGAGGAAATAGGATGAGCACATAGGGTGTGTAGACACATAAGGATGGGAGCAAATTAGGAAATATTTTGTAGTCCAGTTGAACATTCAGTAATTTGTGATGAGACTTGAAAGATAGGTAGGAGTGAGGTGTAGGTGGTTTTAAATCACAGGCTGAGTATTTGGTAGGCATGGGGTGGCATTGAAGGATTGTGAGCAAGATGATACAAAGACATGCATTATGAAGATGACTCTGGCATTGTTGTATCAGATGGATAACAGAAAGGAAAGTAGGTAGGGAGGGAGACCAGTTAGATTATTATAGCAATCTGGGAGAGAGATAATGAAGATATGAATTAGGGTGGGGACGGGTGAGGAGACATTGGAGAAACTGAACCAATAAAACTTAGAAAATGAATGGATATGGAGGGTAAAAGAGAGGGAGGACATAAAGATGACTGATATTTCTGGCTCATGTGGCTGGGAGAATGGTGATGATATTAGGGGCTACAAGAAATTTTATTTATTCATTAATTCAACAAGGTTTTAAAAAGTGTCTGCTCTAGGCCAGACATTACGATATAGCTAGGTTCTGGAGTTACCAAGGCAAAAATGAACCAGTCTCTGTCCTCAAGAAGCTTGTTTTGCTTTGCTTTGCTTTGTTCTGTTTTGATTTTTAAGGCAAGGAGACCACATTTACACAAACAAGTAAATTTAAAATATAGCCAAAGTAAACACAAAATAATACAGGGGAAAGGGTACTAATAGCTAATAAAGGTCTTTTGAAACCCTTGAGCTCAAACTTAAAGAACATTAAGCATTCTAAGAGGTGAAGCTGAGAAGGAAATACATTCCAGACATAGGGGAGAGCATTTTAAAAGACATGGAGATGGGAGATCAAATATAGTACACAGGATACAACAAGGAGGCCAGTCAGGCTGATAAGTAGAGAGTACAAAGAGGATTAATGTGAGTAATCCTGGATCCAGATTTTGAAGGTTAAGTACCAGAGGAGTTTGGGATATGATTTTGGTTGGGAAATTTTAAGTTTGAAGTGAGAGTAAGATGCCAATTGGACCTCTCCAGTAGGTAGTTGAAAACGCAAAGCAGAAAGTGGTCAGGGTTAGAGATATAGATTTGGGGGTCATCTTGTTAGAAGTGATAGTTAAAGTAATATTTGATATGGAAAAAGGGAATGAATGGGATAGCCAGTGAAGAGAAGAGAAAGAGTTAAGAGGAAAAGACATTAGGTTCTTTTCTTGGGCCAAAGGAACAGTGGAGGCCAGTGAGGGAACCAGAGATGGACTAGTCAAAGAGGTAAGAGGGAAAAAAATTATGTGGGCCTACACAACAAGTCTAACTTGCAAGTG